GTTTACAGGCAGCTGCACAATATGATACGGTACACAAAATATTCTTCTCCTGTTCAGCTTCTGCTGTCTTGTTTTGTTCATACCTCAGAAACTGAACTTTTCCATTTAAGGGAACAAGTGTGCACTTTCTCCAGGTGTAAAGCAATCCATTTCCTGGCTAATCTGGTCAGATTATGGCCTGTCTAGGGCCATTTTTCCAGACTGTGTCGAAACATTTCCTTCTCTGTGGTTTGTCTGTCCTTTCTAGGAACTAATTGTATAACTTTAACCCTTCCTTTGCCCAAAGGCTCTGCCTTTATATCTCTTTTGCTCTTCTCTCCCTAAAAGGGAGCAGGGAGGGACTATTTAATCCTGTCCCCTCACAATAGCCCCAGTGTAAATAAGTAATTCTGATAAAGGGGATACTTTGCTGTTTACCTATGATCACATTACATGGTGGCCATGCAGTTAAAATTTCTTTTAAAAGAACCTTTCGGACATTCATCATGAAGTGCTGTGCTGAGCCTAGAGACATTTTGTATACTGCCTGTGCGAATACTAGCGTAATGCCAAGATAGCAATGCTTATAGAGGGTACCCTGAGGATCATCTAGTTCAACCACCTACAATGCAGGAATATGCAACTAGGGAATTGAACCTGCAACCTTTGCATTATCAGCAGCACGCTCTAACCAACTGAGCTGTCCAGCATATTAAATGTATAGTCATAGTCCAGTGAAAGGAAGGAGGTCATACTAGGCATGGGTAAAAATCAATATGGGGGTGGTGCGCTGGATGGGGGTGAGATCACAGGTAGTTTAACCCTTCCATCCTGCTGTGGCTGCAAGATAAATCCCCTTTTCCAAATTCAGTAATTGTATTGAGAGGGAAGCATCAATTGGATCAAAAGCTGAAACAAATATGCACACAAATGTGCAATATGTTTTTTTCCTTGGCCCTGCTTCTTCTCATTTCTAAGACACCCTGTGGGTCTTTTAACACTGCATATAACAGTTTGTATTACGCTCTGTCCTTCCCTTTCTCATAATATTGTTTGGGGCTCTATAATTTGTTTCTTCATTGCTATGGATCCCATTATATTTTTCCTTTATTCATATTTTTACTTTGCCTGTTATATCTGCAACTGTTCAAGGTCTCTAGATAGTATTCAATGCTAGTCCTACTAAGGATAGATCCCTTGAAGTTAATAAGTGTGACTAACTTAGGTTCATTAATTTCAGTGAGTCTGCTCAGAGTAGGACTTAGTTGAATACAGCTCTCTGAACTTCCCAATGCTATAAACATGAACAAATTGGAACCAAAAATTTATACAAAGAATTGTTAGAGTTAATTAAATATGACAGTGGTAGCCTGGAAATACGCACTGAAATGGGTGTGCAGGGATAATTATGTTAAGTAGTAATTAGTGACTAGGCTATTGTGGAGCAGAACATTTATGTGTTTTTAAAAAAGAGATGCAACAAAAAAATCTCTTAACGTCTTTACTGTATACATGCTTATTTTATCAGTTTAATCATTTACTACATGTTGCTTCATCTCTCCGGTACTTAGGCTTTTAAAGTCAACAGATAATAATGTGAAATAAATAAAACCTTTGTCACCCACTGCTGCATAAGATGTTATGTAACTATCCTAAAAATGAGAAACCTTTGAACAGACTGCCAGTAATGCACACTGTATTAGAAAGAATTGAGTCAACTCTGATCTGGAAAGGTATTGCTAATTCCAGGAATCAATCACATATTTAAACCTTTTCTACAAAGGACATGTTTCATGTCATGTCATGTCATGTCATGTCATGTCATGTTATTCTTCTCTGTTCTACCCAGGACCTTCCATGACTTCTTTCAATTTTGAAGGATAATGCTGCTGTCTTTGTTTCTTCCTGTGTTGTTCTAATTAATTTCAGTTTTACACCTGTTGTATATTGCCTTGCTATCTCTGCTTGCATTTTACTTGGAGTACTCCAGTCCACTGCTTTGGTTGTATGTAATCCTTTCCTTCATGTGTTGCTTCACAACGCATTTCTCCACACAACTGCTAATAAACTAATGGAATTCACTGCTGGAAGATGTAGTGATGACGACTAGGTTGGATAGCTTTTCAAAATGGCTGCATTTCAGTGTGGTTTAGCCAGTATTGCAGAGCTTTCCAAACTGTGTGCCACGACACGTTAGTATGTTGGCTGCAATATGTAGGTGTGTCGTGCAAATGCTCCCAGAGCTCCTCCCAGAGCTGGAAAGGGTTTAGTTTAACCTCTGGTTTGCTAGTAAAACTGAAATACTGTGTTGCGTGAAATGATGTACGATTAAAAAGTGTGTCATCAGCATGAAAATTTGGAAAGCTTTGCTGTATGGTGTATTATTATTATTTATTAAAATAATCCATAGATCACAGGGTGGTTTACAATACAAAAACACAAAAATACACACTATAATAACAGACAAAAACAATACCCCCTTCCCCTGATTAAAAGGACCTAGATTGTTTAATTAGCCAAAGGCCTAGGAGAAGAGGAATGTTTTTGCCTGGAACCTAAAGCCTCCTGAGGAGATCATTGCACAAATGCGGAGCCACCACAGAAATGGCCCATTGTCATGTTGCCACCCTCCAGACTTCTCGTGGAAGGGGCTCATGAAGCAGGGCGTCATCTGATGATTGCAGTTGTAGTGGTTAGAAGGTCAGACCCAGTTTCAAATCCCCACTCGGTCATGAAGCTCACTAGGGTCACCTTGAGCCAGGTACTACGTACCTCTCCTTCTACTCTGCCACACAGGGTTGTTGTTAGGAGAAAATGTGGAATATAAATGTAAGTATAAATTTTAAAAATCCTTCTTACAAAGACAGTATCCCTGTTACTTAGGAGAAAAGAACTGGACGGAATGCTCGCTTCCCAACTAGTGTGTCAGCTCCCAAAGGCTTCTGGGTGGCAGTAACTGGAAACTGTATGCCTAACTACGATGCCTAACAGTTCTGAGGTGTTTGTTGTTTTGTTTTGTTTTGTTTTGTTTTGTTTTGTTTTTACAGTCAAACTGTATATAAATTTTATGCAATAAATGAAATAACTAACTAACTAGATGGGCCTTGCTTTGATCATGCTGGGTCATTTTTGCATTGTTTCATTTATAATTTTTATTGCCACCCAGAGAGGCTGGGGCAACCCAATCAGATGGGTGGGTTACATTCATTCATTCAGTCATTCATTTCCATCTTTCTTCCTGATATGTTGATTTCATTCATCCAAGCTGTACAAATTTTCATATGATTTAAAATGATAGCATTGCAGAAAAAGGCCACCTTTCTTTCATCTTTAGATTATGCAAATACTGTATATATTTCTATCCCTGCTGATTATTATAAGAATTTTGCAATGTTAGGGATTTGCTTACTGAGTTTGATCTATAAGTCTGAGGGCAGGGATTGTGTCATTTTTATTTATATGTAAACTGCTCTGGGAGCCTTTTCAGGTGAAAAGCATCTCACTTCTTGCTCCTTGGCTGCTCTGTTTTCCCCTTGCTGCTCTGTTTTCTGCCTTACCACAAGACATGAGGTAGAAACACTTTCAGAAGGAAGTTAGAGGTCATCAGCAATGGTGATTCAGGTGCCTTTAATAATATTCTGACTTTTCACTTACCGACTGATCACCAGGGCCAGTCCGGTCTTTTGGCAAAGTGAGGCAGACACTTCAGGCAGCAGATTCTGTGTGTCATAAAAGGGCAGCAAAGTGTTAGTTACTCAATTCATTATTGCTGTATTTTTTTAACGAACAGAGAGGAAGAGAAGTGCTTGTGGGATTTACTACCTCAAATACCAAAATAACTTGGCTGGCCTTGCATACTACGTAATTTAACTTGGAGAAGAGGGTTGCCGCTTACTGTACTGATTCAGGCAGCAAAAAATCTTGGGCCAAGCCTGTTGATAAACCCTGATAAAATTTCCTAATCAAAGCATGTCTCACATTCACAGTGCAGCTTTATTAAGGCCCATATAACAATAAAGCCAAGATTGCTATCAGTCATTGTGCAGTGATAAGTGTCAGTACTTTAGATTGCCCAACTGATAAAAAGCATTCCTATTAGCATTTACTATGAGACTTGTCATTAAGCAATTGACCTTTTAAGATCAAATACATTTTGCACTCCTCACTCACTCTGGACATTTTAGTGGGATGATCAAATTTATTGCTCACATTTAAGGAGATCTGAGGGGCAATAACAGCCTAGCCTACCTCACAGAGCTGTTGTGACAGGGAATTTAGATTAATGTAGGTATGCCATTTTGGGCTCATTTGAGGGAGTGTGTAATATAATTGCAAAATAAAAGTAATAGGGACCCCACAAAAATAAGAGTGGGGGTGATGAATTCAGAGGGGATAGGAGAGTCCAGCTTCCCTTCCCCCAGAAACACCTGTTGGATAGAAGGATTGCAGTTCCTTGTGTTGGTGGCACCTGCTTTTCTCAGCCAACACAACTCCTCATCCCTCCTCCTTTGTGCTGCCCTTCGCCCCCAGTGATGTTTCATATCCAGTTTGAGGGGAAGGGGAAGTTATTCATGGCCAGAGCTAGTTTGAGAAGGAGAACTTAGAGGGTCATTTTGACTCCCAAATATTTCACCTGCTATTTACCTCCTATGCTTTCATGTCCCTCTTTTTGGTTCCTAGAACATCTGCATGGAGACTTGGATAGAAATAGAGAACTGAGCTACTTTTGGATTGGTGCGCATCATCAGCCCAGTTCCATAGCTCTTGGCACTGCACTCCCAGAACAATGGCAGCAGCCTAGCGAAGTGGCTCATAGGGTTGGGTCATAAATCTACCGTCAGCATCTGAAGCTAACAATCCATGTGACCTTGACTTTTCCCCAGTAAAGAAACAAACTCCTATGTGATCCATAAATGAAAGACAGAGCAAGTTTCAGAGTCCACTACTCATACAATAACAGGTAGAGTGTGCCTGATGCTGGCTGCTTCTACCATTGTTACAACTACCTGCTCTCTCTCTCAAAATCATTCCCATTTGCTGTTTCTCCCCTACCAAGATTGCCATTTCTCTTTTTTTTTTTAAATGATATTTATTGAAAAATTTTGAATTACAGAAGAAAACAAAAAAGAAAAAAAGAAAGAAAAAACAAACCACAGTCAAACAATACAGATTAATAAAAATCAAAATCAAAAAATAGCACAACACGTTCAAAAAATAAAAATATACCACAAACATTTAAA